TGCGTACTTGGCATGCTCAATCAGGCAATCCATAGTCGAATGAAAACGAGTAAACAATATGACATACACAAATTTCGAAAGTTAATGACAAAGGTGTAACTAAACGTCATATCGACGAACCAGTTAATTTGTTTCTAACTATTTTAACACTTCCTAAATTAATTATTAACATTCATTGTTATAAATTAAATCAATTAAATTGAGTGTATGCAGTATCATCGTACTCCTATAAAGTGTTCCACAAACCATGATGGCGTATATGATCTTTTTATAACCTTTTCTCTTTATAAAATAAGGCTACAAATAAAACAATCTGTGGGTAACAAAAAAGACTGTTATGATTGTATGCATGTCTATGGTCTAGAATGCGAATTTAAAATATGGAAAGATTACGCGCGTAAGCGTCCTTTCAATAATCAAAATAAAAATGGCTACCATCAGGGTTTGATCGGACTACACAAAGAAGTTCTACACTTTTTGGATTTCGGCATTCTCATGGCGTATTATTGGAAGGAAAAGATGTACGGAAATGACAGTAAGCTGCAGTAATTCTCCAGCTGTACTCTCTTCGTGTATACTTTGAGGTATTCTCGTAATAACGTATTCTCGGTTGGCATTTGAATGAGTCCGACTGTGTTAGAATACTATATTTCTACAATGATGGAAAGTAGGATTTATAACATTATAGTTTACATTAACCTAAATACGCTAATATATTAGCACAATCAAATACCACAAGCCCTGATCGCCGAAATATTAATATTGTTCAGCGCAATGTCCAAGCTTAATGAAGGCTTGGAAGAAGCGGGGGTCTTGCATAGTCAGATAAATGGGTGTTCCAGAAACACATAAACAGGGCTTTTTTTAATTCAATACGTTTCATCCAAAGAAATGAAATGACTAGATTTGTCTGGGATCGCAATAATTGTGGTGTTCATGCCTAAGCATTGTACAGTAACATATGCTTCATTCCCTTACAATCAGTGCTTTCAGTTTGATACAATAATTTCACTTTAATCCAGTAGCACAAGCATAAGGAAACTGGACGTTATATTGTATTGCCTTTTAAATCCTATTTCATTAAAACAATAACGCATATTTCCGGGCATTAACATTTTTGCTGTAATATAATTTGTTAACATGTACATTTTTTTCATTTCGAACGGTAATTCGAATTTGGTATGTTCTATATAGGAACCGCATTTAAATTATCTATAATCAATTGGTATATCTAATTTGGCCATATTATATATAATATAATTAATGTTTTGACTATAACTGCTTCAAATGGATCGACAACTCGTGGCATTACAGAATTTGTTACTTTTGTATTTATTGATTTTATAACCCGTTCACCTGAATTTACACATGTATATTGAGTTGTGGACATTAATTGTTTTTTAAAATAAACATTTTCAAAACATGTTGTTTTAACGTATTTAAAAATGTGTTGTTCAGACATTTTTTTAACATATCATATTTTAATTATACTGCCTCATCATTGAATAAGAAAATCGCTCAGTTCCAATAATGATTTAAATGTAGAGACATACATTCAACTATTAAGTGATTTTGTAAAATCAGGACTATATATAATCATCAGTAGCACCTGTGACAGTCTACTGAAGGTTGGAGTCGGTCTGATGATGCATATGCATTCAAAGAAAGATTGTCAACTAAATATTACAAAGGTCAGTAGCAAGCTGTGAGTTACAAAGCATTGTCGCACATGCTACGTGTGGTATAGACGTTTCGTCCGATGAGCTAAATAAGTTTATTGTTCATCCTAGCAATTGATGTGTAATCACCAGTTACATTAACGCCGTGTTCTAACTGTTTATTGCAATATGTTATGTACTGCGCCTGTTCAAGGTCGGGCGATAACGAGTAATCAACGAGAAGTAACGTTTTCGAAAGTTAATCACATTTTTTCAAACCGCATATCGATGAACCCCTTTGTTTCTGACTCATTTGACACTTTTCGTTAGTATTCATGGTTATAAATTAAATCAATTAAATTGAGTGTATGCAGTATCACGGTTCCCTGTCAACTACAAAAGTGTTCCACAAACTTCGATCAAGAGCGGATGCGTCTACATGTCATGTGTGGTACGCCTACAGAATACATGCATCTAACAGGGCTTCTAGTTCAAAAAAACAGCGAAATTCGTCCGGGCAGGACAACTCTTAGCAGAAAAATTATGGCGGATATCACCTTTATTAAAATGTGCTTGCGATAAATAAAAAAATGTTATTTTTGTATGTACGTCTATGATCTAGATAGTCCCATATGGTACATTTGATCCTTCCATTGCAAGTTTCGAATACCGCGTACTGTCATTTACCGGTGTTTGGTCTCATTAGTTACAGCCTATATAAGCAACGAACCAACCAAGTAAAAGAAACAATAACAAAAAGCAACATAAATATGTATTCGGTAAACATTTTAAAAGCCAGTAAATTATAGAAATTTTTCAAATAATTAGGTAGTCGAATTCGGAGAAAAGTATTTTGTTAGCCAAAATTCTCGCTCACCTAAAGAAACCTTGACCATGAACCGGATTTAAGATGAGAATGTTATCGAGCAAACTACCACAGGTTGTTATGTCATGAATGTACTAGTTAGTAAATTATTTAACCAAGGATATGTACATAAATGTATGTATGTTAATTTTCATTCAGATTAGAAATGTACAATGTGCGTTGAAAGGAAACAAGTCACACAGATGGCGTTCCTCAATATAATTGGTTGAATGGGAATCATTACACAATTTTTAAAGGAATTAAAGGAAAAAGATTACGATTGAATTTTGTGTAGAACATTTTTGTATGAAAATGACACATTTCGCGCAACGTGTTACCACATAATTCAGATGCCAATCATTTTATTTTCTGTTGTCTATTATTCGGAATAATCCAGATAGTTCTTATATAACGTATTGCATTGCGGAGACTAATCATTCGGGACTACAGACAGGTGAGTGTGAACACCATCGATGATTATTTGACCAGTTTGTATGTAGATGAGAGAGACTACCGACGAAGAAGGTTCCGTACACGCTCAGAAATTGAACGATTAGATGAAATATTGCCGTTAACGCACTCGGGTATAAGTGTATATACAGTAACTAATTTCAGTTTTTAGATGTTGTTTTTTTTAAATGTATAATTGCCATGTTTCGTTACATATCCTAACATTGGTGTTAATGCTTGCTTTCGAGTACCGTCAAATTCTTAATTTACTTCCCACAGAAATATTCACTATGGATTCAAGACTGGTAATTTTGCTAGTCCTGTTGGCAGTTTGCAGCGTGGTTGCTGCTAAAAAGGTTAGTACGTAAGATTGTCTTGATTGGCTATTTTCTCGTCTTTTCCTTGGAGCAAAGTTGCTAGTATAGCTTTCAGTTGGCAATAATTTTATAGATAAAATCACAAGTATTCAGGCGACCAGTACCAAGACAAATAGCATTGTTATATTTTTTAGTTGAGTTGGTAAGGTTGTTTGCGTTCTTTCTCAAAACATTCATTTTTACTGCGATCACACAATTAATCCTATTTGCTCGAACATGCATTTCCGGTCCCATCGTTTCATGGAAATAGAAACTCCTGTTTTGATATAAATGCCTTGATACGTGTGGATATAGCGATTGTAGTGGAACGACTCGCACGGCTTTGCAATGCATTGTTCATTAATTGACTGCTACAATTGTTTCTTGTGAGTTAGGAATTAGTAGTACAAGCGCTAGTACAAACAATATACAAACGAATACGGGTACGGTGTATGGAATGATAGGTAGTGTTTTGAAAGCTCTATCAGGGGGGAATTCTTCTCCACGGGGGTCTCCACACTTGTCAGGGGGAATCTCGTCTCGTCTCTATATCTCGTCCCCTTGAGGTATGGGATCGGGAAAGTCACTTATACTTTACAGTCAAATAAGACACACACAACGAAATACGTTTCAACTCTCGTCTTAGTCGATCAGTCGAGTACTCTACAAGACACAGCGCCCTGGGGAAAAGTCCCCAAGACTATCGCAAGGCTGACCCAAGACTCTTTTAGACTGCGTCAGGGCTCGCCCCAAGTATCTCCAGGACTGAGTCTGTTCTTGTGTACTCCTCAAGACCAACTCAAACTCTCTTTATTCATTTTCAAAACTCTAACCAATTACAAAGCAGTAAAAAGACTCTAGGGCGTAACCTTCAATCATAAAGCCAATAACACTAAGTACTGAATACGTCATATCTTTTGATTAATCGTTCACTACATTAACAACTACGAATACCAACTGTCAGAATGAGTAGTCTGAATAGCGGCGGTTATCTGGTAATTAGTTTCAAATCACTGAGCCAAGTTCCGTCCAAAACTTCAAATAGGCCTAAACGATGACAGACATAACACAGCAATTCAGCTAATAATCAACTAATTAAGTCAGTCAACAGATACGCAAAAACAAATTCATGACAGCTCATACATTATGCATAAAGTTTGGAAAACTGGGGTGTCTTGAACGCATTCAGCTAAATGCCGACTATTGAAAACCCCTTCAACAAGTGGTGGTGTGCTGTTTCTTGGTCTATATTCAATAGTGGGCGATGAACTGCAAGCTGTTTAGAAAGCACACATATTTCAGAATTCAAGGCACCAATACAATTCGCGATAATTTTGCTCAGGTTTAATCGAACTTGATCAAATGAGCTTTGTCCTAATTTCCGTATTTAGAGAGGTTTTAAAGATTTCTCTGCTCTATGAATAGTTATCAAATGTCTTCTTTACATGCAATTATCGTCTCGAAGATATTGATTTTTGTCAAGTGATGCAATGTTCATTACAAAATGATTATCACTCTCACTCTTTTAATAGATTTTGTTATTACTAATTATTATTAATTATTATTAATTATGCTTTTCATAATATTTTATATATAATATCATAATTACTATATTGGCCTATTTTAATTATGTTCTCATTTCCAATGAAACACTAGAAAAAAGATAGTGAAGAGAACACTGACGTGGCCACTGACGAAGCCGCTGACGCAGCCGTCGAGGAAGCTGGCTCCGCAAGCAAAGACAAAAAAGAAAAAGAGGCAAGCGAATAGAAATTATGCTTTTGATAATATTTTTATAAATATATCATAATTACTATATTGGCTTATTTTATTTATGTTCTCGTTTCCAATGAAACACTAGAAAAAAGATAGTAAAGAGAACGATGGCGTAGCCGCCGAGGAAGCTGGCTCTGCAAGCAAAGACAAAAAAGAAAAAGAAGAAAAAGAGCACGGCAAAGGCAGTAAAGAAAAAAAGCACGGCAAAGGCAGTAAAGAAAAAAAGCACGGCAAAGGCAGTCATGAAAAAAAAGAAAAAACAAAAAAAGGAGGTAGGAACTATGGCGAATTATCGCTTCAAGAAAATTCATTGACTTCATGTGATTCAAACCATGTACTCCAAACTTAATGGTCTTTCATCTTGTTTTAATTTTGGCGATTGATTCAAGAAAGAATTTCCTGCATTCATGTACGTGTGTTATATTTTGTATTGAATTTTATTGACTGGGCTATATACAATTAGAACCCCCCCTCCCCGAAGTGTATTGTGAAATTAGGCATTTTACAAATATAATACAATGTAATATGTTCATGTCTTAGGCTTTGAATAACTGAGAATATTTTTCTTATTCAAGCTCGCAAATTCAAACCCAGTAAGAAGCGACTGCCATTACCAGACAGTAAGTATTGTCACGGTCATAGTATGTATAATCGATTGTTGTTGGTGGTGGTAATAAATGATTCATTGTGCATTGACAATATTCATGTTTGACAATTCTATGATATATATTTATATATGAGTGACCCTACAGATTTATTAAATGAATATAACTATACTCTTCCAATAAATATGGTATTGTGGAATCACAAACTTGCCTTTATCGTGTGTTCATTTCACATCTTCTGCAAATATCGTATTGCGCGAGTTTTGATGTCACTTTGGATGCGCATCCATATCTCAAACATCTTGCTTGTCATTTTATATTTTAGACTTAGAGAAGGCACACATTTTTGCATGTGCGGCGCCGTACAATGGTGGCACTTACGTTCGGAAATGCGACCACGATGTCAGTGTGAATGCATTAAACATCTTCCGCGATAGGTTATGAACTGCATTTCTGACAGTCGTGTTTTATTATTTATTCAATACTGCTATGAACGTATTTTGATATCCTTGAAATATTTCTCACTACAGCCGTTTGCAACTGCGCCGCATGGGGAGATCCGCATTACATCAACACGAAGGGGACTAAAATTGATTTCCAGGGGGATTGCGAATACCTGCTTTTTAAAGATAATGACCCCGATCACGACAACCCGCTCTTCATAGTGACTGCCAAAAATCAGTTTCGAGATGAAGATGATGTGGTCACATTGACGGAAATGGTCACTGTTTTACTTTATGATTCAGAATACGATTATTACATAGAGGTTAAGATGTTCCAAAATAACGTAGTTCGTGTGAGTATTAACAATAATTATTCCACATTCAAAATAACTCCCTCAAACATCGACGTTTCATTCACTTGTAAAAATTTGCGCATGCATCGTCGTTCACAAAAACGTTTATGTCAAATTTACTATAGTGTGCATTTATGAAGAACAACATACATCATAGCTCACCAATATAGACATATATAGAGAGATTGTTCACCGAACGATTCTCCGACGCTTTTCCGATCAACTTTACTAGAGGTGTGACTGCTTTGGTTTAAAACTGTATCTCTTCGTACATAATGTACGACACCCTAATATTAATTTGCCTTAATTAATATGTATATGTCAAGCCAAACTGAAGATCGTTTTTATTATTACAGATTGATGGAATTGACACGATACCCCCGATTCAAATCAATGAGCATTATAGTCTTGACCATTACGGTAAGGGGGTTATTCTCATATCGGACTACGGTTTCTGGATGACGTGGGATTTCAAAAACCGCGCTGAGATGGGAGCCCCTGCTGAATACGAAGGGAAACTGGTCGGTATGTGCGGAAATTGTGACTTCACGTCCGACGATTTATTGATGCCAGATAACTCGATAGCGGAAGACTGGGTAACATTTGGTAATAGCTGGAAGACGGACAGCTCGTGAGTACAGTTCAGCGAGCACCATTTATTAAAAAACAGATAGCCACACAATTTGTCCTGTGGTAGCCATTATCATCACATGGCTGTGACAGCAAGCTGCTACTAAATTTAAAAAAAAAATATCTGACATGACTTTTTTTTGAAAACGATCATCACTTGATATAAACACAAAGTCTAGCGGCGAACACGGTTATATGGCCTAAAATAACGGATATGAGTGGGAGCAGTGTAAGTAATCAGCTATAACAGATCTAAACATTATCGATGTGAACACATTTCGTTAAACCTATGTACGCCACAGAACTAATCAAGTAGAATAAAACTAATTATCACGTCTCGTTAAAAAAGACGCAATTACGATAAACGCTTATTAATTACATTTGAGTTAGGTAGCATACTGTGAATGGAGATATAGTAGTTCTCATTTCAATAGGTGCATGAATCGAGAAAAAACGACTGAATCAACTCGAATCTTCGCAGATAATCATACACCTAAGAACATTGGCCAATTGATTCAGTTTTTGTTCACACTTGCACTTTATATGTTCATTCAGTTGCCTTGATGTCACTGACACAGCCAGACCTTGCACCAGCGAAATGGAACTCGAGCACCGTGCTGATGACCAGTGTGGTATGATAATCGATCCCAATGGACCATTCAACGACTGTGGGTTGAATGATCCTGACCTTGTATCTAGCTTGTATGAATCATGTATGTTCGATATGTGCTACACAAAAACAAATAGAGACGAGGCACTTTGTGACAACTTGGGTACAGCCTATGACGAATGCAAATTGAACGGTTATACTCCCGGAGAATTCCGAACCGATACATTCTGCGGTAAGTGATATTACTATACTTTGTTTTGGTTTTTATTCAGAGAAACGTCAATTATTCGCTTGCATTGTCAAGATTTTAAATTAGGAGCTACAGCATATTGCTCTGCGTTTCTGTTACTTATACACTGTGGTCACTTGATTTGTTTCTCGCGTTGATTGCTGTATTTGACGCGGGGTTTTAGAACCATTTTCTGCTATCTTCACAGATGATCCGTATTCTTCCGTATTCCATAGCTTTAAATCAGCATACTGCTGTCACTGCGACTAATGACAAAAACATGCGAAATATTGGAATGAAATTTTGCAAAGTTTTTGGAGTAGATCTGAAACCGACTCGTATTGAAAACGAGTGTTTATTTGCCGCGAGGACCACCTATTGATCACCTTTACACTCCAGGGTCCCACATGTATCATACTATTTTTTGATCACCTGTTTCCCCTTTTCTGCAGCCCTACGGTGCCAAAACTATGCACGGTACGCCGAGGATGCACCTGCGTGTCCTAACACTTGCTTAAACCCCTTGGCTTCAACTGAATGCCCCGATGACCCTACTGAAGGTTGCAGTTGCATCGACAATTACCTATTGAGCGGTGATGAGTGCGTCCTGCCCGAGAATTGTGGAGCTGTTGACGAGAACTACATGTACCACAAGGTATATATCAAATTGTATCTACTTCGCTTATTCGGATGGTAGTGTGATCCGTCATGTCATTAACCTTGTCGATAGTATTTCATACGATGCGTATAGACAAACACTCACCATCGGAGTTCGCATTTGGTATGACATTTGATTCATTTCATAGAAAATGTGAAGATCCGATGACAAGTCACAACTTCTACACAGTGTAAAAAGCAAGTTTTTATTTATTTATAATTTGTTGCTAGATTTAAACCCTCTTAATTCCGCACGCAACTGATCCTGTGTATTTGGCGTTTTGAATTACATCCCTTTTCCTTGCAAAAAGCGGAAATTAATGTCCTCATCGAATATTTGGTTCAACAGCTGGACGATCGCTGGGTTACTGAAGGCTGCTCCGAAATGTGCATTGTAACGGGCCCAGAGACTATTGAGTGTGAGACATTTGGATGCGATATAGACGAGGAATGTGAAATTAAAGATGGAGGCTACCATTGCATCAGTAAGTTTCCAATCTATTTTTATAAATACCAACATAAATGCGGGTAATTGTCATTGAGAGTTTGTTAAACAAAATACATAAAATCACAAGTTTTTGCAAAAGCGATATCCAAAGGTGTTGTTGAATTCTAAATCTGTCGATGCAGCAAAGCACAACGTTTCAAGCCAAATAGACCATAGCGCAAAGTTGTACACGTAGTGTACCAGTCATTTTGTTTAAATATTTGTTTATATATTTTATATACAGTCCGCGTAAACGTGACCTTGTCGATTGCACTTGAGTACATTGCAGGGGTTCTCCAAACAAATGCGGTTGGCAGATAATCATAGCCCCTGGATTCCATTTAACTATTTTCCTTACACTAAATTGTGAAGTGCAAATAAAAAAAATTTGGGCATCGATAAATAAAATCTCGGATGATCAACATCAATATTTATTCAAACAGTCATCAAATGGTCTATATTGCGCGTCCGTGTCGTAAATACGTTTATCACATGGAGCGTGGACAGCAGCGCCAACAAAAGAAACAAAAACAAAGACAGCAAGAAATATATTGTATATACTGATACACACAAATTTTGCGATTTACAAGTTGTTCATTCCTCTTTGTTCTATAACTCATACCATCACCAAATTGTTGAATTTGTATCCATCTGTCATTGCATATACGTGTACTAACACTGTTTTATTCATTCATTATTCCTATAGGTTCCGTAGAGGTGCGAGCCGCCCCCGATATTTTGAGCGAAGAAGAGTGTAACACCGTCGGAGGTATCTGCTCGGTATCCTGTGCGAACACCCCTCTTGGTGAACTAGCAGCAGACAACATGCTGTGTATTACGGGTCTTACGTGTTGTATTGTTCAGCAATGTACGTTTATTACCATATTCTGTGAATTTGCCATTCTATAACATGCCCAAATAGTGCTGGCGTTTTTTTAAATAACTTTAAATCATTGTGCATTTATAATGACTAACTCATCGGTGCATTGTTACCTATTCTTTCGCTAGCTCTGTGCAGTAAGGACCATTACGGTGGTTTCTGTGATATAACATGTAACGACGGCTTGAATTCTATAAACGATCCCGAGCTGTGCGAAGGTTTCCCAACAGGTTACGTGTGTTGCAAGCCAATAGGTAAGTATTGTATAGTTACCACCCACCAGACACTTGAGTTGTATCTATATTACGCTTTCCGTGGCGTTTTGCGTGAGCAGTGTTGAGACAATTTTAAATGAACGCTACGAGTGCGTGAATTTTGAATAAATATTCACTAGCGGCGTGACGGGTTTTGTGAGAAGGGAAAAGGTATAAATCTCCATTAGAAGCCAATACTGTACACAGGAAACAAGCCGATGTGCTCCAGGGCGATTGTTTCCATGACCTGAGTATCTGTGACGTGTAAGTTGAGAAATCGTTTTTCCTTATTAACTCTTCCTTGTTTTGTTTTTCTCCCACAGTTGAAAGAAGAATTGGACGTAAGTACCCCTTCGTAAACAACCCTTCGTAATTGTTTTTGTAGAATTATAAAATAACTGCATTGAAGTTAATGTTGGTCGTTTTTTTTTTTAAATTACAGTTTACTTTCCGGAGCCAGCAATTGTTGACGGAGGTACGTGACTAGTTTTGATCACAGCTGTGTGATCCCATAAATAATGTGTCTCATTCGTTTTACCATAATCCCGCGAGCATCAATGACAACACAAATGGTTTCATACTTAATAATTATACACGATGATTATTTAATTTTTAATTTCACGGTTAATGAAATTGTACACTAAACTATCGCTTTCTTTCATTCCGACAGAGCTTGGTGTTGAAAAACCATCGCCCGAGGGTAAATATTGTTAACATTTAATATCTATGGTAACAACTGCCCGTATGTCATATACAATAGCATGATACGGATTTGAAATATGCTAACTACTCTAAAAATGTCAATACTTCGTACTATACAAATTATAGTCATGTAATATTTGGATCCTATTCTTCACGCATACATTTATCACTTGAAATATACATACTTAGGGGCACTGGTTGTCGGGAAGAAAACATGTATATGTACTGCATGAATATTCGTTGTTGTTCGTAGAGATCGGCTCACATCCATCGCACACGATTGCGGCTACCGACCACCGACCTTTATTAATCGTCCTATTTTTTTTAAACAGATTTACCTCCCGACGAGGAACTTGCAGCAGTTGGTAAGACACTTTTAACATTAGCAGTATTGTCGCACGTACAAATATAACGATGTTAATCACTATATGGTGCAATTAGTTTACCTTTGACTGATATTTATTATTCGTTTGAACTTAGGTCCACCAGGCGAAGGTGCTCCTGCACCAGGTAAGACCATGCATTTCTTACCATAACATATCAAACAATATTAGCTTTTATTTATTTGTTTGCTATCGTCAATACCATTGCCTATTTGACTTCAATCCTTTATCGCCAGTCACATTTGTTTTTTTCATTTTTCAGAAATTTATATCTTTTGTAGCCAATTGGAAATGCTGGTCATTATTATGACCGATTATTGAAACGAGCGTTTTTATTAGTCAATGGGTACCACGTGCTGCCCAGTTATCAAACAATAACTGGACAGTGCTTGAGGGCAATGTAACGAACGGACGAGTATGTGAACCAAATTTGTCCAACCGTTTCGCTTATGTGTACGGATCGTTTAAACATCAAACCCATCGCTAATAATTCATGTTAAACAATCTTGGCTATTTTTATCGTGGCACGACCCGTCGTAGATGCACTCAGTCTAATTACAAAGCAAGCATCGCCGGTGCGCTTGCTATGCGATCGTGTTATTCTTGTCAAGCACGCCGTGAGAAAATTGAATAAATGTGGTTCAAAATTAATATTATTGAAAAATACATACAATTTTGCAAAAGTTGTTTTGAATTCAATTTTGATAGAAAATATATAGAATTCAACTGAACAAACGTGCAATTAAACATCGAAATCAAAACATTAATTCGAATAACATGTAAAATAAATATTGTGTTTCTGGTAAAGTTGATAAACACACACAAAATATGTATGAAGGCAGACAACAGTTTTTAATTCACCAACATGTTCCATACAAATCTAATCTTGTAGTTAGTTATTATTAACACAACAATTGTGTGCATGCTGGTCTATATTGGAATCGATGAATGATTTTTTTTTCTTCAAAATGTGATATTTTACTTTTAAACTTATTCATAACACTGTTTTATTATTTTGTTCAGAGAATTACGTTGCTAGTGAAGACACCATAGGAGGTACGTTGAATATACTTTTACCACGCTGTGTTTTCACATAGGCTTTGATTAGTCGGGATTCCTATACGTATGAAACAAATCATCAAAACTGATAAAATTATCTCAAGTATTTCAAAGCGCTATTAATAATTAAAATTGTAATCATGATCCACTGTTGTTCACTCCAATGAAATCACAAACATTCTTTGTACAATATTTGTATGTATATGAAAAAGAAATGTATGCTTACAAATGTGGGTACAATTAAATATACTGTTTTGTTTTTATAGGTATTCCAGTTCCATCCTTCGGTCAACATGGTGAGTAAATACTGCGGAAATGTGTCACAAACTAATGCAATCATAGAATAGAATTACTTGTAAATTTTGTGTTTTGTAATTTAAATCAAATAGTACAGCCTTCATCGAACATTCATCGCAGAATGCCAAATGACATATGCAAAGTTAGACGTTTTGTAGTGAAGTTAGTAGGCTCAAGTTATTGAGTAGTTATCGAATTGAGTAGCTTACTGGACAGGTGCAATTGACGTACCCGCCTAGCACGAATGAGACTAATTTCATATATTTCTTTTCAATTTTTCTGCCAACAGGCGATCCAACTGGTAAGTTATCTTCCTTTTCTGATTTTGCGTTCATATACGCCCTTCTCTACTTTAATAACCGGCGAATAAGAGGCAGCAAATATATGCTTTTTATGAGAAGGCGATGTGGTGATATACAATATACCTAATATATGATATATGTAGATGAATATGTTAAATATAAATAGATGTACACTATATGATTTATACATGCAAAGACGTTATATCGTCAGTAGTATAGTAATATAACTACAAATCTAATGTTTTGCATTGATTACTATACCACAGCTGCCGGGGAACAAGGCGACCCTAGAGAAAAGACACACGATGGATTACGCTACACGTTCATTGGTGATAAAGATGCATGTGATTATTACCTACTTCGCTCAACTAATCCCAGTGTCGATATCATAACCCACCATGTTCCGGGAACCACAGCAGGAGAGAAAGCTACATTTGTTTCTAAGATATACATAGAATATGAAGGGGTTAAGTTTAGGTTACTTCAAGACAATGATGTTGAGGTAATTTGTCTGCTTTCTTTTTTATCATAACCATCATAATGCATGGAAATGAAAGACATTTTTGCATTTGTGTTATTACTTATTGTTGTTTTTAATTATTATTAGATTAACGGTGTGAATGTGAAAGATCAGATCTCTGTGGAATCACCAACGTCGTTTGCAAACGGACTTGTAGAAATACAATGGGCTACTCCGACAAGGGAAACATTATTGCTTTCGTTTGGCTCTGAACTTGCAGTAGTTTGGAGAGGCCACTTCAACCGTGTTAAGGTCTACACCACGTTGACAGGATTGTCTGGTCTTTTGGGAGACAACGACGGCAATAGTAGCAACGATCTGAACTACATGAAAGATGGAGAGTTGGTAATACTCGATCCCAAGACCGTTACTGAAGAACAATTACGGGAATTTGAAATAGCCAACAGAGTGGGTCCATGTGTAAGTTTGTTTTATCACATTTACGTCATATATCATATTTTTTTCTCATTCATTCATTCATTTATTTATTTATTTATTTATTTATTTATTTATTTATTTATTTATTTATTTATTTATTCATTCATTCATTCATTCATTCATTCATTCATTCATTCATTCATTCATTCATTCATTCGTTTATTTATTTATTTATTTATTTATTTATTTATTCATTCATTCATTCACAGGGAACCACAAAATAACTTCTCCGAAAACAACTCCCATGAGAAAATAACTATGGAACAACACGGCTCAGACTGTCGTATATGTAGCAGCTAGCTTTAATGGTAGAATCAACTAACGGTGCATGCAGGAATTCGAATTTTTGTTTAGTAGTATATAAATTTAGTTCGAACTGAAAATCCTAATAAATTATAAGAGCAATATGCAAAATTATTCAAGGAGTGTGCTTTATAGTACTATTACATAATACGAAAGATAAAATGTGATATTTAAATATCCGTGAAAGACTGACAAACAATAATCATGGATTGAATCTCGTCTGAGCTAATAACACACCTTTAGTGGCGAAGAGCTTCTAACAGGTAAATAGATGGCACGAAGGTCTGTCACAAGGTAAACCACACAGTGAGATGCTATGGTGTGGTAGAATCGCCAAACGTAATACAGAAATAGAACGGCCAAAATAAAGTACCGTCACCAACCTTGTGGTTGAGTTCTTCACCCAAAAATACACAATGTAAATAATGTATGGATATATTGGTATTGATATATATCAATACGCAGTAATGCCAGTGTAGAACTTTGGGATAGAACACGCACTTCACTTCACACGCACTTCAAAAAACACAAGTTCATGTGGTCAACGAAATGTTTAATACGGGATAATCTCTATTATTATTTGTAATGAAATCACTATATTTGAGCATAAAGAATTAAAGCAATAATTACATAACCATTTAAATGCAAATAACCATGATTAATGCACTAAACAACGTAATAAGTACATAATCCGTAAATACAAATAAATAACGTCATCAATCACTGTACCGTTACGACGAACTGTATGACGACGTAGAAATAACAACGCCATAGACTACTTAGATTTTGTAGTTGACCCAGTTTAATACACAGTGTTCGTGTGTCACGATTTAATGTCTCGATGATGGTTTGACAATCTGCTAGGAATTTCTTCCCGATGACGATTTGACAAATAAGTTGGGGCACGGCTATGAAGACTCGGCGACTTCACCATGTAGAATACCATAGTGGAGTTGGTCATAGGGTTTCCAAGACAAAGTATCAGGAACTGGCAACAAAATTCTCAAGACGTTAACTGTGACAAACAGCAGGGAGAAGTGATCCCTTTTTTACGCCATGTGACAAGTTAATTTATTCAGGAAGGTTTCGGATTTTCAGATGGGTTATTCACACCTATTAAAGTGTTAAATACAGCGCCAACTCTGGTCAAAATGATTAAACTTAATTAACAAACTGGAATAATATACATTCAAAAAATTAAAGTTAAGTTACCGAGAAATGACCCCTAACAAGGCCGTTAAACGCGTCATCGTTTTTTGATCTGCAGTGGACAACCGATAAAAAACTAGGCTTTTAACGGATATTTGTATATTCTATATGATTACACGACCATACACAGTTGTTGAGTTGAACGATATTGCCTTCACCCATTAATAATAGTGTGACGTCACGTGAGAGCTCTGTAACCAGAGGCGCGATTTAAAGAAATCGGGTACTGAGTTTGCCTGAATCCCACAGCAGTATACAAGCATGTTGGAAAAGAAAGTGCACTATTTTATACTGCCTATTAACAAAGTGTATCACCCGGAATCCCGGGGCAGATGTAATCGAGCTGTTCAAATTAAAATGTTTAATTATTTCACCGATTACTCGCGGCTTTATTGTGAAGGTATCATAGTCTCAATTGGTAACGGTATTTGGGTAACAAGGATCATGGTGACTTCGACTTCTTCACACCGAAGTATATCCGCCACCAGAAACAGATCTACTGTAGAGACACACTTGCATTATTCCTAACTAAAGACAGTGTAGGTACAGGATTGAGGATACTCACAGCCGTACAAATTATTATTTACATTTTCACGGGCCAGTGGGAGCCTCGGAACGATTATATACACGGGAACAAGAGATATGTAGAAGATTTTAAATATATTTTTGTTATACTCTCAATCAAACACACAAGCTCAAAACAAAGTTACAATTCGTCCTGTAGTTACAGCATCTGGCATAGTCAGTCCCTAAAAATTCACACAGTGAGTCCTTATATAAACAGCACAGCGCCATCATATTGTCCAATGGTTGGTACATAATGAAAATGCTTGCAAGAATAAATTCGATGTTGGCAACGCTACTACATTGTAAATTCCCAAAAAACAACCATATTCTGACTGACTAACTATTTAGAATGATTGCTAATATAATATATTATTAACGCATGTGAATTTCGAACGTGGCATCTAAAGAATCTAAAATTTTGGCTTTTGACGTAATTTTAATTGATGAATCGGCGGTTTCATTTTATTGATTCGCTAAGACAAGCGAAAACTATAATTTTCCCAGTCAGGTCTGTTCTTTAGCGTCTGTGGGAATTCAGAAACCCACAACCAGTGTACTAATAAAAACACCAACGCCCACTTTTAGCTCAAATACTTCACAGAAAATGCAAATACAGATGGACGTTGCACGATTCGACGACTAAACTACCGTTGATTAATGCCCCGTTCATACGTCAGGTGGGAACCGTGACGTTTTTTTATTCATTACTTTTGTTGTTATTAAAATTCTGCACGCATTGTCTTAACATACGAGAAAATTACTCTGACTTCCCCAACGTTATTCTGATTCATAATTATCTACAAAATTACGGACAATGACAAATATTTTAGTTTCATAGTTTAAATTGCAGATCAGTACCGAGGTTGATTCCACCTGCATTTAAGTATTATTATTTTAGCTGGGCTTGTGGTCGCCGATTCGCTGCACAACAAAACTGACAATATCCCCTAGAGCGTCAATAAAACGATCAGTCTCAAATCGTATTGTTGAAAACTAAATGTTGCCATCACAGGCATAACTTCGAGACTTTTTATTTTAAATTTCGATTGTTAACGCCATTTCATCAGTCGAAATCACACCAAAACCAATGTGTTAAATTCCAGAAAATATTAAAAATTCTCATGGTCATCATTAGCAGCTGACCGGTGAATCGAACATATAATCTCGTCTAGACCCTTTTTCGAATCCAATATTACACTGTTGGATAATTCATTATTGTTGTTATAAATCGCAATATTATATGATAATCCCAAATCCCAAACCAATAACGTCCTAAAAACATATAACAATTCGGATAGTGGTGATTTATGACACACAATATTAGGCATTACGTTGTCATGAATTCAAATAGTATATTGTGGCATTAAAAGATGGTGCCAAACGCCTCATATTTTACTGAATGAATGTATGATTATGCAAATTATTCTGCATATTATTTCCTTTAAATATTAAGGATCATACCACTAGTTTGACACTTTAAAGTACTTGTTAAATACCCACTCATACATTTAAGTTTGGGGGTTGGTTTCTGCTGCACTGAAAGTATTTGAAAAACACAATAAATAATAAAACATCATCAGTAAAATTGAAAAAAAAAGATCGTTGCCTCGCCCCATTCCTACCGCAATCGACATTTTCCATTGAAAAGGTGAAGCAATGCATGTGTCATGCACTTAATATGGTAAAATCATCACGAACTATTGGTTTGGGTTTCTTGGCAAATTCAAACGTCTCAAAGAGACCAGAAGAAATGTATTTTCTTGAAACTCAACAAATCGTTTTTTTGTTGGTTTTTTTTCGATTTTTTTTGTTTTAAGTATTTGATGTGGAGATTTGAATACACTTTAGTATTAGATTACCAGCAGAATATTCTAGATTAGCGTATGCATTCTGGTTTGTCTATGAATGATAAACTAAACGATTTTGTATATGCATTTTACTAAACAATGCAATACATTTTAAAATGTATTTCGCAATTCATTCCCCGTCTGTAATACATTTGAAAAGGCACGAGTCCGCGGATGTTTTTATGCGTATGTAGCCTAATGTCAATAATTTGACAACGAAATCAGAATACGTAGACCACAGTCAACTAGCGTACACGTGGTAATAAAATAAATGCAAGCACTTTGCTAGTATTTACTATCATGAATACGGCTTGAGACTAAATAAAAAGAAAATTTATGAAACCGGTTTTTCAGATTCCTACAAATCAGGAAAAAAAATATCAAAATTTCACACCTTTATCACGGGGGGGGGGGAAATCTTCTCTATGGGGTCTCCACACGTGCCAGGGGGAAACTCGTCTCGTCTCTATATCTCGTCCCCTTGAGGTGCGGGTTCGGGAAAGTCACTTATACTTTACAGTGAAATAAGACACACACAGCGAAATACGTTTCAACTCTCGTCTTAGCCGATCAGTCGAGCACTATATAAGACACAGCGCCCTGGGGAAAAATCCCCAATACTATCGCAAGGCTGATCCAAGACTCTCTTAGACTGCGTCAACACTCGCCCCAAGGCTCTCCAGAACTGGAATCTCCACTGGACTGCGTTTATCGTGCTGTACTCTCCAAGACCAACTCAAACTCTCTTTATTCATTTTCAAAACTCTAACCAATTACAAAACAGTAAAAAGACTCTAGGGCGTAACCTTCAATCATAAAGCCAATCACACTAAGTATTGAATACGTCATATCTTTTGATTAATCGTTCACTACATTAATAACTACGAATACCAACTGTCAGAAATAGTAGTCTGAATAGCGACGGTTATCTCGTAATTAGTTCCAAATCACTAAGCCAAATTCCGTCCAAAACCTCAAATAGGCCTAAACGATGACAGACATAACACAGCAATTCGCTAATAATCAGCTAATTGAGTCGGTCAACAGATACGCGAAAATAAATTCATGACATATCCCTTCACCCAAACTGAGATTATGCCTCCCGGCATTGCACGTTCACAAATCTAAGATACCGTCCTCTACTCATCGTCATACGGGTTAAATACAATACTAATAAAAGTATAAATCAAAAGATTAAAACACACTAATTAAGTACAATGATTATAATGTCTAAATACAATGGTTATAAAGTCTCAAATAAAACAAGGGAGATGCTACCAATCGACTCACTTTTCTCAAACAGTTCGCTGAGGTAACCCTTCGCTGCTCTGTCTCCGTTATTAAGGTTACAAACTTTATATCAAAAGGTCAAAAAAACTAAGGCGTGGCGGTGTAACCAAGCGATCAGCCAATCGCTGCAGTCGATAGCATGATCGCGTGATTACCAGGGATGCGTCTCTCGGTTAAAGCATTGCAAAGCGGTAACTAATAAACAATGAATAAACAAGCTATTAATCAAACGGGGGGGGATCTTCCCTATGGGGTCTTCACACGTGCCAGGGAGGAAACTCGTCTCGTCTCTATATCTCGTCCCACACACAGCGAAATACGTTTCAACTCTCGTCTTAGCCGATCAGTCGAGCTCTATATAGGACACAGCGCCCTGGGGAAAAATCCCCAAGACTATCACAAGGCTGACCCAAGACTCTCTTAGACTGAGTCAACACTCGCCCCAAGGCTCCCCAGGACTGGACTCTCCACTGGACTGCGTCTATCGTGCTGTACTTACTCTCCAAGACCAACTCAAACTCTCTTTATTCATTTTCAAAACTCTAACCCATTACAAAACAGTAAAAAGACTCTAGGGCGTAACCTTCAATCATAAAGCCAATCACACTAAGTACTGAATACGTCATATTTTTTGATTAATCGTTCACTACATTAAAACTACGAATACCAACTGTCAGAGTAGCGACGGTTATCTCGTAATTAGTTCCAAATCACTGAGCCAAGTTCCGTCCAAAACCTCAAATAGGCCTAAACGATGACAGACATAAACACAGCAATTCGCTAATAATCAGTTAATTACGTCGGTCAACAGATACGCGAAAACAAATTCATGACACCTTAATGATGCATTTGGGAACTCACAGCCACGTTCACCAGCTTAAATCAGCGTCAATTGCTACAGCAAGCGATGTAACCCCAGCAAAAAAATGGCTCGACAACAAAACGGCAATGATCAACACGTTTCACACAAAATCCAAGAAGGTGACCAGTCCAAATGACTGATCAAACATATTGAGAATGATTGAAAATGCGAGACATTGAAACGCACCATTAGGGGACGTATTTCCAAAGACATACAGGACAGCCTGTTAAACCACATTATTGCATTCTTCTGGTCTTTGTGTTTTATGATGCCCTTTTTATGATGCACTAATAAATACGAAAACTATATTTGACCAATTTCGTTCTTCTAATGACAATGTACAGTTCACAAACCTTAACATAAAACTATATATACATGTACATACAAATATTGTTTTGTGCGAGTAATGATACAAAAACACGTCTAGATGTTCATGGTTTATTCCCAACTAATCTTTAAACTACAGAAAGGGGTTTTATTTTGACAAGAATCTACAACCATCTACAGCCACACTAACGATATGAGGGTATATGTTTGTGACAAAATCGGTATCTTCAAATTCTTCATAGTTTTTATTTCGTCGTAAAGGATTATAGTATATCAGTCAGGTCTGTGCGTATCTCCAATGCTTCGTTCAGCTTACTTCAACAACTGCAAAAATATAAACATTATTATTATTATTATTATTATTATTATTATTATTATTATTATTATTATTATTATTA